GGCGCGCTCTGCGGCTTGGCTCCGTGTCTCCCTGGTCTGCTGGTCTCCAGCAGACCAGGGAGACGGGGAGCAAACCCCGTTCATAATTCGGATCCGCGTAACTCGGGGACTACCTGTACTCAAGGTATGTCTACACTACAAATGGTATCGCTACACTGCTGTTGGGTACACACTACAGTGACTGCTGCTGTAGTAAATCCACCCCCTCAAAAGTTGGTAACTAGGCTGAGTGAAGATAATGGGAGCTGCAAGGCTCTGGGGCTACAGACCCTTTAGGTAAACAAAGTGACACAGGCCTGCTAATAGCTTTCCCAAAGCGGGCCCAAGGAACACTGATTCAGACTGGTCCTGGACATTCAGACTGGTCTGGTCATCTGAAGAAGTGGGCTGTATCCATGAAAGCTCATGGTACCATCTACATGTTTTGTTAGTCTTTAAAGTGCTACCGGACTATTTGTTGTTTTTTTTAAATCACCCTTAAACAGTTCTAAAAATCAAACCATTTCAGCTTTCTGTCTTGGTACTATGACCATGTTCATGGTAAACATGACACAGCAATAATCACTTAATTTTTATTAAAGCAAATAACTAACTAGCAGCTCATGACATTTCATCCATAAAAAAGATGTTTTATACATTTGTAGTTATTTGAATGTAAATAATGTTTAGTGCATGTTGGCAGTGTTTGCTCTCTGTGCAGCTGGCAACACCCTATAGTTCCTGATATGTTATCTCACTTAATGAATACTTTTTACTCTTTATATCATGTCAACACACATTGCAACCATATACAGTGTGCAGAAATGTATAGCAACTAAAACTCTTCCCTTAACTATGAAAACCAAAGATCTCATAAGTGCTGTTAAACCAAAACTATGGAATAAAGGCCCTTCTCTACACATCTGTTGCAATTGTGTATCCACATCAAATATGTGAAATGCAACTCTCATGAAGGATTATGCACTGTACATGTAAACAGAACAAATGGACTGAAAAGCTTTAGGTATCATTGAACATTGCCAGTTACATGTGTGTTTTATTATCAACCAAGATGAGAAGGGGATATGTGTAATGTCTACAGGCAGAACTGAATCTGGGACCTCTGGAGCTTAGTGCATGAACACCTCTACAGCTTGAGTTAAAAGCCGGCTGGCTCTCAGCTAAGGCCATAGAGCACATTCATTCTTCCTCTCTGTAAGTGGTTTAAATGCCACTTATTTATTTAGATTACTAGTACTTATTTATATTACAAGGTCTTTCAAGCATGGAAATGAACTTGGGACAGTACACCATACTTACTAGATGTGTGGATTGCACGTGGCTATGTACAAAATGACATACAAGTTTAAATGCTTTTGTCTGATCTCCACATTTCCCCTAACGTATTCTCTTTCCTATAATGAGCTCTGGGCCTGCATCTTCACTGGATTTTCTGCAGCAGCCACTTTGCTATATAAGAACTGGGGAACAAAGTTAAGTCATGTAAAAGCAACATTGTCTGCATTCAGTATAAAGCAGCAGCAGGTTTTATTCTCATCCACCCCCAAGAGGGAGACAAGTTTTCAGTATTCTTTGACCAGCCGCTGTAGTTCAGATCAGAGCACAGCATGCTATATCAGCCATCTTTCATATCCAAATCCAAAAGAAATCAGCTCTATATTCCAGGCTTTCATTCGAATTTTGACCTTTACTCACTCTCTCTTGCTTTCTTCCTCCTCTCTCCTTTGGCTTTTGGCCCCACTCACTTTAGGACATGACTTATTCAAGTCTGAGATAACTTCTGGA